ACACATTTATTAATACTTTTTAAAACAGTTTTGTAATAGTATTGTAATATTACAATAACAATGATAGAAAAGCAATAAAACTTATATTTGGGTTAAAAAATATTAACTTAAACCAGGAAGAAATGAAATATATTTTCAAATATATATAAAAATTAAGCAATAAATTGATGAAATTCATTTCGAAATTACTCATTTTCTAATTACATTAAATGCTTTCAAATGCAGAAAGACACATTTATTAATACTTTTTAACAACAGTTTTAGTATTAGTATTGTGATATTACAATAACAATGATAGAAAATGCAATAAAACTTATATTTGGGTTAAAAAATATTTCAAAGTTGAACCATGAATAAATTAAATATATTTTCGAATATTTTGTAATATTACAATAACAATGATAGAAAATGAAATGAAACTTATATTTGGGTTAAAAAATGTTTCAAAGTTGAACCACGAAGAAATGAAATATATTTTCGAATGTATTTAAAATTAAACAATAAATTGATGAAATTCATTTCGAAATTACTCATTTTCTAATTACATTAAACGCTTTCAAATGCAGAAAGACACATTTATTAATACTTTTTAACAACAGTTTTAGTATTAGTATTGTAATATTACAATAACAATGATAGAAAATGCAATAAAACTTATATTTGGGTTAAAAAATATTTCAAAGTTAAACCACGAAGAAATGAAATATATTTTCGAATATATTTGAAATTAAGCAATTAATTAATGAAATGCATTTCGAAATTACTCGTTTTCTAATTACCAAATGCGGAAAGACACAATTATTAATATGTTGTTAACAATTTCCATTTAGGTTCAAAATATATTCGTGCAATAATAATGTTATAATAAGAATAATACGAAATATCTTATATTTCAGTTTATTCATAATAATAATGCAAATAAATGAGAACTACATATGATTCATGTTCAAGAAATGAAATGTCTTAAGCAAAAGTTGTGTTTAATTTCTTATTTTTAATTGTTACTCTTTTATTTTTTATATCTGTTAAGATTGGAGAACAATATTGTCTTCTTCTTTTTTTTTTGTTTGTTTGTTATTGTTGCAGGAGGTGAGAGAAGTCCATGCAAACAGAGCGTAGAAAGTTTGCACTTCTATTAAAAGAGTCGTGCATTTCGCTACAATTAGAAGAAGACGAGAAAAAGAATTATATATATATATAGAAATGTGCAAACGCGGAGTGACATCTGATTTATACCGTGTATAGAAGTAACGGGGACAGCGAAAGATAATTATTTGATTTCATCGATGCATTTGTATGGAAACTGAACAACATTAAAAGGAAGCAAACAAAACAAATTTAATTTCTAATATATCGAAAAGGAAATGTGACTTTTTGAAAAAAAAATCAAGTGTAACATAAATTTCTATTAATTTTCTAAAATTTCCATTTAAACTTGTTTTTAATATCGAAAATTGAGGTTTCTTGTGTCTCAAAGTAATTATGTAGATTTCTTAGAAGGCTTTCGATTGGTTTCATGTTCGGTTCGGGTCGAACAATGCGGCAATTACTTTGTTTTGAGTTAAACAATAAAACGTTTACTTGTATTGGAGTCGCAGCAATCACGAATGGGAAGGAAACGAAAGAATTTATCAATGAAAAAATAACATGGTTTTGCTTTTGCAACGTTATAAAGGAATTAATTAAACGTTAAATGTTTAAATAATGTACGAATACATTAAAAAAACATTAATCTAAATCAATATTAGATACACTTAACATTGTAATTGAAAATTGTTTAGAAAAATTCTGAGAAAATGTACGATTTTTGTTTTGAAATTTAATAAAAAACAACTTTCTGAGAGGAAATTTGTAATAATTTAATTTGGATATTATTCTGTTTATGTTAACATTATTACTTTTATTTGTAGTTTTATGTATTTTATTACAATTTTTTAAATATATAAGTTAGTAGATGCTTGCTTACCGTCGTCTATAATAGTCGTTGTGTCTTCGGCTAAAATCCCATAAGTTTCATCCGAGAAGCTGAGAGCTAGGAGGAAGAGCATCCAAGCGGCCAAGTACATCTTCGGGAAAGCCACTCTGGAGACGCGGAGCACGTTTCCAGAAGCAAACGCGTCTGGTAATAAGACAAACTCTTGAATTGCAACGATCTCGAAGGGTTGCAGAAGATGCAAAGACAGAGACAGTTAAGGACGGCTGTGGAGGAACGCATTCGCTGCTGCTCGTGATCACCGACCAGACCGACCGAGTATATTGTTAATAACAAACAGAGCGTGCGTTTTTCCTTCTTCGCTCGTTCTCCACGGTGAAACTCTCACTTGCTGATGGCACGATCACGAATGACTCCCGGCTTTCTGCACGGCAGGGGGACAGCTTCTAGACGTCTCTCGCCTGAGGCACGGGGATTTTAATAACAATTTGAAGATGATGACTTTTACCATAATTTTACGTATAACCCCCACACACAGCCAAGAACGCTCCACCATTCTACCAAAAGGAATAAAAAAATAATAAATTAAACGAATATGCGTTTTCTTTTCCTCTGCCGCGAACAATAGTAAAAGTTCAGGAACATTCGGGCCGAGTTCAAGAGACTTCGAAATTCAATGGATTTTTGCACGATCGACACAACTGATTATGTAAACCCATCCGTATATTTATTTAGTTTTTTTTTTTAAATTCCCACAATCGTATTATTTCTAAAACAACAAGTGAAACTAGTCAAAACTTTGCCAAAAGTAATTCACTTTGATTGATGTTCTTGTTTATCAAAACACAATTCTCTTTTCATTATATTGTTTAACTTGAACTTTTTCGCAAGATCAAATATTCATAGACAAATTTCAGCACTAAATATGGGATTTATACTAAACTATGTTATTTATAGGAAAAAAGAGATATTTTGATTACTATTTAATTTGTAAATTTAACCTAGAGTAATTTCACTTTTTCTACTCTAAATAATGTTTAAACTCTGCAATTTACAACGAGTTAATTCATAGTTTTGTCTATTTCATTTCCCTATACTACAAATACCAAAAAAAACTTCAATTTTGATATCAAAATGGTTTTTATTATTTTAAAATTTCTGCATTGAAATTTGGACATAATTATTTGTAGGAAGTAATTTTTATTGTAAGTAATATACTTTTTGATGAATACACATTTGTCACTTGCGATTACAGAAGGTGCCCCCATTTCCATGCTCCAGTAAATTTCCTTCTCATTAGTTCATATGGGCTCGCACGAAAATTGATACAATACGAAGTGGACAGATCGTTCGAAAACAATGCACGTTTTCCACGTTTATCCGGAAAAACATGCATTGTTCCAACCCTCCGGATTCGCTTTCCTCGACCAAATTCCATTTCTCTCAACAACGAATATGCATTGAAAAAGCATTGTTTTTCTGCAAGTGAAAAGCGATACAAAACACATCCACATTACCATCATGCTGGTTATTGGAATATTGAACAGAAACATAGCAAATAAATAAATAATTCTGTTTTCTATTATTTTCTCTTTCGCATTATGATGATGCAAGGAACGAATGATTTTTATTTTGGAATATTTGCGTAAGATAAATGTTTTGCGTATTGCCATCATCATCATCATAGTTCAACAATGGCCATTGCGGCACCAAGCAATTCATCGGGAGTGGAAATCAAAGCGGCGAACGTTGCCCAACCGGAATTTATATTAAATAAGATGTCCATGTAGAACAATCGAGGAGGCATTGTTCGAGCCGATCTGCGAGTTCCCGTTGTTCGGTGAGCCATTGTCGCGACGTAATTAGTCGGATTTGACAAGTGAATATGAGCTGCTGCTGTTGCATCACTCGGATTAAATTCACTGGAAGCTCGCATAAAGGAAGCAGGAAAATATAATGCACATTTCTTTCCACTAAAATTACTCGACGCACGCTCACTAATCACAACCTTGTCGTAACAATAAGTAAACAGAAAACGTATTTTTTTTTAATATTTATTTAAAAGATTTAGCAACAAAACTATTTGCAAATTTACTAATAATTTAGAACAGAAAGTATTGCTACAATAATTAAATTAAGAATCATAATATTTAACACGAAAAAAAAATAACTTACGAAATATTAGAAAAACCTTGTTAATTTAGTAAGTCATAGTTTTATTTTGTAATAATTGTTATTATGATGATAATGACTTAACTGTAGGTATAGTTGTTAATAATACTTTTGTTGCTTACCAAAAACCCTCTAGTTATCAAGAAAACCTTAAGAAAGTTTATTATATGCTTGCAACCGTTGTTAAAGACGAGTATCTGTCGTTAAGGATGCTATTTAAGTTGCCAAGGACGAAGTTTTGCTTGTTGCTAAGGACTCCTGATTGTAGCTATGAACCCCCATAAAACTTGTTTTTTTAAATTATTATTACCCTGGAACTATAGACAAAATATGAAAACCTTTAGATTTTCAATGATCTTAAGTGGTTATTTCTTAAAGAAAATCTTGATGCTCTAATCCTGCAACCCTATAGCAACTATCGACAAATTAGAAAAACCTTTCGAGTTTCAAGGATATATTATGTAATTACTTCATGTTTTCATTGATGTTACCTCAATTCTTAAAGAAAATCTTGATGGTAAGGACTTCTGGTAGTAGCTATGAATTACCCATAAAACTTGTTTTTTTTATTGTTATTGCTCTAATCCTGCCACCCTATAGCAACTATCGACAAATTAGAAAAAACCTTCAGAGTTTCAAGGATATATTAAGTAGTTATTTCATGTTTTCAATGATGTTACCTCAATTCTTAAAGAAAATCTTGATGCTAAGGACTTTTAGTAGTAGCTATGAATTACCCATAAAACTTGTTTTTTTATTGTTATTGCTCTAATCCTGCCACCCTATAGCAACTATCGACAAATTAGAAAAACCTTTCGAGTTTCAAGGGTATATTAAGTAGTTACTTCATGTTTTCATTGATGTTACCTCAATTCTTAAAGAAAATCTTGATGTTAAGGACTTCTGGTAGTAACTATGAATTACCCATAAAACTTGTTTTTTTTATTGTTATTGCTCTAATCCTGCCACCCTATAGCAACTATCGACAAATTAGGAAAAACCCTTTGAGTTTCAAGGATATATTAAATAGTTACTTCATGTTTTCAATGATATTACCTCAATTCTTAAAGAAAATCTTGATGCTAAGGACTTCTGGTATTAGCTAGGTATCTGGTATTTACCCATAAAACTTGTTTTTTTCTTATTGTTATTGCTCTAATCCTGCCACCCTATATCAACTATCGACAAATTAGAAAAACCTTTCGAGTTTCAAGGATATATTAAGAAGTTACTTCATGTTTTCAATGATGTTACCTCAATTCTTAAAGAAAATCTTGATGCTAAGGACTTCTGGTAGTAGCTATGAATTACCCATAAAACTTGTTTTTTTTTTATTGTTATTGCTCTAATCCTGCCACCCTGTAGCAACTATCGACATATTAGAAAAATCTTTCGAGTTTCAAGGATATATTAAGTAGTTACTTCATGTTTCCATTGATCTTACCTCAATTCTTAAAGAAAATCTTGGAAATAAATATGAGACTGAAATATTTGTAAAATCTTTATTTTTAACATAATATTGAACGTTTTTAAGTAATTAGCACTTTGCTTAATTGTTAAATAGTTAAAGTAAACAATTTTTTTTCAATTATGTTGTGTTATGTGTAAAATAACTGATATTTTTATAAATAATATGAAAATTTTAAATTTATTAAACATGGAACGTAGGCAACCAAACTAGCTTATGCGTAAGTGTATTGCATAACTCGTTATTTTTAAATGTTTGAAACAGTTTAAATGATATAAATAAGAATGTCTTTCTTATTGCCGCTCGATTAATTGCATGTCGAGTACGCATCATTAACGTCGGTTTAACGGTCTTTTAGATGCGACCATCCAACATCCATAATAATAATAATGGCAACATGCAATGCATCTTATATAGATTGAAAGATATTGAGGCGGTAGCACGGATTTATGAGCGCGTGCCTCGAGTGCAGAAGGAAAACGTTATGCAAATAAAACTAGATCGGGTGCAAAACGCGAACGAAGAATTTAAAAAAAAAAACGGAGAAGAAATGCACCTAGCGGATCGAGATAGCCGGAGGCTTTCCATCTATCCTCCTTCATCCGTGCCTTCCAGTCTCAGTAGGTTACTAGGTCCACCACAACAATTGTCTAAAGCTTGGAGAGGACCCTATTTTCGGTATATGTGCCTTCGGTCACGTAATCTCTGTTAGAAAGCGAGAGTAAGATGAAACCGTTATAGGGCGCCTTTTACCTGCATCAAAAACTTGGATCCCAAAGAAAGAAAAAAAACGGGAAGAAAGTTCCTTACTTTCTTTACCTTCGTGGAGAGATTACGGTCTGCGATCTCAAATAAAATGAAAAAGAAAGAAAACAATTTACGACCTCAACGAAAATAGAATTCATCTGAAATTGAGCTGAAAACGTATACAAATGGAATGAAAGGAAATAAAGCGAAGCAAAGAAATGTTTATTAATCGGACCCACAGAAACCATTTATATCCAATGCTTCTAATTAGTACGTGAGTCTAAAAGAAAAAAGAACGCGTGGGCGTTTGTGAAGTAATTGGGGACCAGTACCAAATTTGAGAAGTAAGCAATTCCATTTTATTTGCAAGTGGGTTCAATTTTTAATTGGAAATGTTGATCACGTGGAAGGACTTAACTTATATCATTTTGCTTGAAGAACAGAAGATATGGGAGAAAGAGTAATTACTGTAATGAACGGTAATTATTATGGGTTCGGACTTTCTCGAGGAACTCGGTTTTGGTGTTGACCGGAGGACGAAAACGGTGGATTATTCAAATCGGTTTCTCATTCGACAATTTGCTTTTTGTTGTTGAGTATTTGTTTTTGCTTGGGCCTTGAACAGTGCCCACACTGTGCGTTACAAATATGTACCTTAAATAGAATGTGTAATAAATAATGAGCGTTATTTATATTTTCCGTTCGTCCGTATCGACGAAAATGGAAACTGGATGTAAATTAAAGTCTTTCTTTTTGGGTTTCAAAACAATTTTTGACGTGGACAGACGTGATTTTCATATTATTGTCTCTTAAACATCTCTATAGATCAATAATTCAAGACCTCATCTATGTAGCAGTCATTGAACCAAATAAGTCAACATATAAAAACTTGTTTTCATAACATTAGAAATAAAATTATTTATATAACAATTCGTTGTTATTTATAGTCAATATTAAGTTTAAAAATATATTTTTTTTAGTAAAAATCTTATTTATTAGCTCGAAAACTTAGTTTTTGATATGCTTTTACTACTTTAGAGAAATGAGTTTGTCTGAAATCTTCAAAAAATTATATAAAAGTATTTAAGAATATTTTACTGTTTCCAAACTTGAAGTTATAACTACGTAGAAATATCTTCAAGTTTGGAAACAGTAATTGG